TTAGAGACACTGAGTGATATGGTAGATTGTCGTTCGTGTATCTCCTCAGTTTCTTTGCAACCTCAGTCTACTGAAACTCATCTAGTATTTCACTCTACTTTGAACTTTACTGTTTTTCCCCTACTGTTTATCCAAACGGGCTGCCAAGAGGCAGCAACCGAAAACGGCGCATGAACGTGCATGGTTAATGGTTGTTCAAACTGAACTGAACCGAACTGTAATGTAGTCGGCGTTCTCGAATAGTTCGTCTACGATGAAATTTAAAAGGACTGGTAAACCTAGGCATCCTCGACGAACGCCGCTGTTTTTGACGAACGAGCTACTTAGTTAGCGACAGATTCTCACTGAACAAGAACTGAGAGTACAGACATCTTAGTAAGCTGACAGTTTGAGGAACCTAGTAGTCAACTTAGCCAAAAGCTGTCAGATCAAAGAACACTGATATCGTTAGACAATGATGCCAACGAATCAACTGCAGGAATAAGCACAGTGCAAAAACGTCATTAATCCATCCGCGACAAGATCGGAATCCGGCCTTTTTAAGGGCATTGATCTCCTCGAGGCGTCAGGCTTTGAAATATGACGGAGGCTAATACCTTTGCAACGATCAGGATCAAGCCAGTCTCAGTTTTGTGGGCTCGTTGCGAGATCTCTTCTTGATTCACATCGATATCAGTTTAGTTCAGTTTTTTCACCTATGCAATTTCGTGCCCCAGTTTTGGTTGCTGTCTTTTAGTGCCTCATTTGGATAAATGAGCAGAATGAAGATTGGAATGTTGAAAGTAAATTCAAGGGGAAGATGGAGGATTCATATAGAATAGTGGTAGGGGAATAATGAGTGGATGCACGAGCGCCACTGCTTGCGACACCCAGCCATATATCTCAGTGACTCTAACCATCGGTTACGATCATCCTGAGGTCCCCAGCCAGAGAGCCTAACGGGGACTATGTAACCTAGTCTCCTGGTTAGGGTTTTCATACCCTCACACCAGGTCTTAGTTTGACCACTCTTGATCTTTTTCCAATCGCTACCAGCCTTGGAAAACATCGCTCGCCGCGGCAACCTATCTGGTGACATGCGTAACACATGCCCCAACCAATGTAATCTATACAGGTCGATCACTTGCTCCAGTGGACGACCGCGAATGCCTAAAACTCTACGCCTAACCTCAGCATTGCTCGTCCGGCAGCCCCACCAGACTCGTGCAATGCGACATAGACAGCGGTGTTCGAACACCGATATTCTATTTTTATCCTGTTCCCGCAAAGGCTAAATCGGCACCGTAGAGCATGACTGGCCGAACTGCTGCAGCATATACTCGACCCTTCACAGACACTGGATGTCGTGACGGCGTCACAAATGTCTCAAGTTGACAAATGCCTACCGAGCCTTCCGTATTCGAGCTGATTGGGTTGTCGACGCGTCCCGCTTTAAACCTAGATAGTTAGGAACTAGTTCTAGGTGATTGCTTTTCCTACCTGAGCAGTTTCGTGACCAATAACGGTAATGCAGTTTAGACGTTCAGCAACTCGCAACCCGGATGGTTTGCAGTTCAAATGATTCTACTGTAGGAAGAGACTAAACTCCATGAATCTGTTCTCTGTTGAACACCGCAGGTTGAAGTGTACAAAAGTCACCAGGAACACGGAACAGTTACCCACAGGACACTTGTTCATGTTGCTGGCCAAAAACATCATTCGAGATCACAAACACTCTTGCGAGAACCAGATGCACGCTGGCAGAGGTTACACTCTCTCGCAGAGCAGTCCCCGTTTGGAACGAACTACCACCTCGACTAGTTGAATGCCTCAACAAAGAGCTTTAAACTAGAGGGACAATTGTCCTCGTCCTAAAGCATGGTATCTCCTATTCCCAGATGTGCTTCGGCGATTAGAAACCATATTTTACTGGTGAGATGCATGTAACACTGTTCCGTTCTTCTGCCTTTTCCACCTTCCAGACATTTCTTTCTTTGTGGAGCATCGGAAAAAGCCTCAGACTCGCAGGCAAGTCAGTCCACGGACGGAGTGTACGATTAATAAGACCCTACTAAAACCAAGTACCGATTTTCTGCTACAAGATGACTAAGGGCCGTAGTTGTAGTAGCACTGATTTTTGATGCTTAAATCTTACTTGTCATTCACAAATACTATTATATATATATATATAATATCAATTTACTGGCGCTCTTGGCCTTCGAGCAAAAACAGAAAAGTAATGGATAAAGTTCAAGTCGCATGGTTATGTAGTGGTATACTACGTGAGGAAGCACAGAGATAAGTCATTTTCTAGCGTTTTAGTTGTCGACTCGTAGCGATTCAGCTAAAAAATAGACATCGGATCATGTACAGTTATAGCGATCTAGACCACTATTCGGTAGCCTATTGGTAGCGGTAAACTGTCAATGTAGTAGTCAAATGGTCTTTTTGCTAGCAGCCGATAACGAACAGGCAAAGGCCTCCCTGCGTCCTGAATGGAATTCGCACTACTTGCATGTTCCTGATGTAATCACCCCGATTGGTTCATGCTGGTAAGCAAACGAAAATCCTATCTGCGAAAATCACAATTATTAGCCCCTCCCGCTGTACAAAAGTAATCTTGTAAGTTTCGCCTCGAATGCGTAAAATCGGTTAACGTCCTTATGATACTAATAGGCTTCATCGTATACGAGGGAGTGGTTCTATAGAATCTCTTCAGTTCAGTTCGGTTTGGACAAAACAGGAAGTGGGCACGGCCAATCGCGCGTCTTTCGGTGGTGTGCACAGGTCCGGCACCCACCACTGTATTGGGTTTTTACCCCATGGTGGATTGGATTAATCCGTCAACGACAGAAAAACACAAACTACTTTCGAGGAACCGAGACATTCGCAATTCAGTTCAGTTCAGTTCAGTCAGTGCAAATGGGCAACAGCCCCAAAGCCGTGTGTCAGTTGCGAGTGATTCTTGTATTCCATTGAATTAAAATCAATTGTACACACGAACACTTCCTGTTACAGAAACAATGGCTATAATGATTAGTATGGCACCCGAAAATCTCGGTATCATGCTTTGAAACCTACCCTATTGTCGCCGGGCGGAGGACCGTCAAAGGGTCCTGTAGAAGGGCGCGAACGTGACTGGAAATTGGGGATCTCGCGAAACGTTGCATAGCGTAAAATGCGGCAGAGTCCAATCCACAACCGGTCAATTTAAACAAGGATAAGCTTAGTTCAATTTCAAACTCAAATCACAGGATGTATAGAGGCCTTCGCCTGTTTGGTATGCTGGTAATAGCGGGTTCCGTCGGTGGACCGACTCGCCTGTGATTATAATACTTCGTCCGAATCTCCACAAAGGGTAAGGTCAGGTCAGGTCGCACAGGTCGGTAAAGGCTTCCGCCAACTGAGCGTCCAGATTCCTGATCCAGTCTAAATCAACGTTCTTCCGGAGCTTCTACTTCTTTTCGACTGTTTGATCACAGTTGATTTTTCGTCCGGAACAGTCTCTCTTTTGGAGTCTGTATCTGCGACGGGAGGTTATTCAAAAATAGGATGCATCGAACACCTCCTGTCAAAGCAGGTAGATGTCAACAGTGGGGGACTGTACGCTATCCTGCCCGCGACGCCAATTGTAATGAAGCGGGAAAAGTCGATTACTTACGGCACGGACCCTGAGCAACAGAGCTATCGCCGAAAACGCGGAAACAGAATACGCAACACCTGAGAGCGAAAGAAAACTGTATTGATTGAGAGATTCGTGACAAGCTGATAAATCAATTCAAAATCAATAACATTGAACAAGTAACCCTAACCAGGGGGGCGAATGTCTGTCATGGTTTACAGAACGTTCCTGGGTTGTTGGGGAGCTGAGTGAAGCCTGAAAGGGAAAGAGAGAGAGGGAACTCGGTTTTAGGGAATGTATATCGTCCAATGCACTTTCGGTTCCATTACACTGCCCTCCCTCTTGGACGGCACTGTCCTCGGTGCCCGACAACTGCTCCACCACCATCGGGCCCGACTTCAACTGTCTGTTCCACTACTGGAAGCGTCCCCGAAGGTACGGGTTCTATCTCGGCCCCTGAGGGGTCGCTCGGCAACGAGAAGGGTTTCAACTGGTTGAAATGTACTGCTGCCGTTTCGTTATTTCGAGAGCCGATTTTGCGGATGGTATAGACAGTCGGTGAACGCTGAAAAACGACTGCCACGGCGGATGGAACTTGGTTGAAGTACCCTGCGGCGGTCTTTATCGATCCTCCACATTATATGCATTCCCGAGGATTTTACGACCGTAAACGCGTTTCTGTTGCTCTTGCATTCGGTCGGTGTGTTTCTGAACGTTCTGGAAGGCTAGCTGAAGATGTTCTTTAAGGTCTTGGGTATAGGCCAGTGTGGTGTCAGCAGAGGTTGGCAACGACGGGACCGGTATCTCTAAGGGTAAACGTAACTCACGTCCGAGCGTCAGGAACACTGGACTGTACCCAGTGGTGCTATCGTACGAAGCACGATAGGTGAGCATGCAGAGCGGAATTGTTTCGTCCCAGGGATCTGCTTCAAGGGTTTCATAGAAACCCTGAAGGATGCCCTTTATGGACCGATTTGTGCGTTCCACTAGCCTGTTATCTTGAGGGTGATACGGAGTTGTTCGGGTTCGTTTTACACCCAGCAAACCGGACACTTCCCGCAGTATCTGGCTTTCAAACGCGCCTTGGTCGGAGTGTAGGATCTGCGGGGCACCATATCGACTCACCCATTCGTGGATAAATGCTTTTGCGACCGTCGACGCGTCCTGGAGCCGAATGGCAACAGCTTCAGCCCATTTCGTGAAGTAGTCATGACTGGTATATATCGGTTCACCTCACGGGTCATCGGTAGAGGGCCCATTATATCAATCCCGACTCGTTGATCCGGATACATAGCAGTCATGGGTTCCAGGGGTACTCTTGGTGCTAAAAATTGTTTTTTTTTAATCTTCGCACAAGTTTCGCATAGGTTGCACACATTACCAACATCCGTATGTAATCCAGGCCACCAATAGCGACGGCGAAGGGTGGCTTCAGTTTTCAGTTGCCCCCATGACCAATGTGGTCGTGAATGCGTTGTACCTCCCCCAGATGTTCTTGTTTTGGGTACGAACAACTTCGACTCCAAATTTTTCTGTATTTATAAGACCCCATTATTGAGCTTTAAATCGTTCCACAGGCCCCACGGTGCCCTCTCTTCCTCGGAGGCATCTTTCATTTCGAGACAAGTTGGCTTTCGCCCCTCTCCTTTTTGTGAACTGTAGATACGGGCGATATACGGGTTGTTGGCTTGATCATCACCCCATTCTGCCTCCTGAGTTGTCAATAGGACCACGTTTACCTCGAGAGGAAATCCGGATAAAGCGTCAGCGTTGGAGAGTCGCAATCCAGGTCGGTGTTCACAGGTGAATTCATATTCCTGTAGCTTTTCCTGCCACCTCGCAACCTGACCCTCGGGATTCTTGAAGTTCTTCAAATATTGTAGTAAATGGTGGTCCGTTCTAACTTTAAATGGCTTGCCCAAGAGGTAAGGTCAAAAATAGTTGATAAAATACACTACGGACAGCAGTTCTTTTCTGGTGGTGCTTGCGCTCTGACGAATCCAGCGCGAGACTTGCGTAAACAATGACAACTTTAACCCTTGGAGACTCCTAGGCTGAAACTGCTCCAATAGCTTTCTCACAATCATCTGTGTCCAATACAAATGTGGGCCCACTGCGGGAGACATCAGGAAGTGCTAGTATGGGAGGGAAGGTCAACTGAAACTTCAATTGTGAAAAAACACTATCACACTCCGCTGACCAAACAAAAGCAAGACCCTTAGTAGTGAGTCGATGCAAAGGGGCTGCAAATGAGGCGAAGTCTTTAATGAATCTCCGGTAATAAGAAGCTAGCCCCAAGAAGGCCCTCGACTGTTCTACCGAGGTAGGACGAGGCCAAGCTTTGATACGAAGACAGCGAAGTATATGTTACACGCATTTCATCAATCAGCTACAAGCTATACTCCGGTAGTGGTGTGACATCCTAAAAATGAGGTTTTACATAAAAAAATCCATTTTAAACTGTATTTTAGAAAAAGTGATGTCAAATTTAACTTTGTTTTTTTTTTAATTTGTGTCTATCGTAAAATCTAATTTGTTTAGATTTATCTTATTTGACTTTGTGCGGAAGGTATAAATAAGCAGTGTAATGTTGACGATCGTTTCCGCACTCATACCAACCATGGCGCACCTTGACGATACGGACGTTTTGGAAAGAATGGTGAAAATTTGCTACGGATCGCTGGACGGATCCTTGGAGGATATCCATGAATTCCAAAGGGTTACCTGCGAATCATTCTACTTGTATGCATCAATGACAGTTGAGCAACTGATACAAGCGAGAAAGTTTGGTCGGAAACTGACGCTGCCCGAGGGTTTTCCGTATTTTTCATCAAATATTGCTGTGTACATCATCGAACGCGCGGTGCAACTGCAACCAGGTGATTATAGCTCTTAGTGCTATTGTATTTAACCCGTTTTAGCCTGCAAAATATCGATTTTCGGGCCTTCGTTGGAAATCACGCGGTCGGGATGGAGTAGCGAATGATGAAGCGCTATCTGATGAATAATCATGACTTCCATATGCGTCAGCGGGTTTTTTATATCAGTTATTGTCGCCTACCTTGAGAACAAGAAGAGGAAGTGTATAATTTGATGGACCCTTTTAGAAGTACTCGCTATCTAAGGGATTTCGAAGCGCAACGGTCCAAGAGATTAATAACTACGGCGGATATTAAATCCACAAGTAGAAACAGTTCTCATTTGGATTCACGGGTCTATGCGGTGAAAGTTCGGGACATGCTGGAGAATCAGGGAGAGGTTAGGATAGGGCTGAACGAAGGCATCGTTTGTCACATTTATTTTGTGCTTAAGATTATGCTGCACTGCGTCGACAGGTTCGATGATGTTTTGTTAGCGGACGCCACGCATCAGCTAAACTGTGGTGGGTGTATGTCAACCAAATAATAATAATAATAACGGCATATTTCGCGAAGCCCGCGAAGCATGCTAGTGCGCATGATCAAACTGTACAACAAT